GAAGGTAGTGATTGTCTTAACACCGGGATAAATATCACTGAGCTAGTCCATGTTTTGTTGATGCTAAAGGTTCACCGATAGCGTTCATCATATCGCTGACTGCTAACTAGCTTGTTGATGGACTTTAGTTAGCCCCAGTGAACAGACCTACAGCAGCGCTAGCCCCTCCCCCTTTGGGGTTTCTCTGTTATTTGGCGCCCCCAATAGGCCAGATGTGGTACTGCACCACCATCCCTTTGCAATCTTTATTGTGGCCATGGGGTGTCGCTCTTTACACAATAGTGTCACGCAGCTGTTTTAAAAGTTCCCCCTTGTGAACATTTAATTTACTGTCAAAAAAAGGCACGTCATATGACATTTAAACACAGATTACAGTATTGATATAACTGTAAAACAGAAATAAATAATAATGACAGACAAAAAAAGTGGTCATTCAGGAATTAAGGTGCACAAATATTTATAAACATATAGGGCCTTTCCAATTTTACAGCATTTTACATGTTTAGAGTATAGAATTATCTAGTTAGTTTTTTTTATTGACATTTGTCAATAAAATACATGGGGACATCCCAAACTCTGCTTTATTGTCCTCCAGTTGGACACCAACCTTTATATTTTCATATTTTAGAATCATAATATTTCTATCATTGTAAGTACAGCTGTATTTAAAGGAAGAAAGTCAATAACTATGTTATCTGCAATGACTGAAAATGGGGAATGGCTGTTATTCCTCATTCTTTAATAGATAGGCCTTGATACAGTATACAAAAAGAAAGAATTAGGGCCAAGGGTTTGGTGTCTCGAGGGAAAAAGTAGGTTTTTTTTTTAATCATTCAGATATTTTCATTGTTTTTTAGAACAACCAAGTAACAAGAAACATGGAGCATATACACTCTGAACACACAACATCCGGAAAAAAGAGTTGAAATGGAATTTTGCCATGCTTTTAGTATCACAATTACTATTTTATTGATGCCATTGTACTGGAATAGAGACAGAAGAGGTTGGCAAATAAAACTGAAAATAGATCCTAGATACAACTTAAGGTGACTTTTTTGAAACCCTGATTTTGCTTTCTTAGGGGACAACATGACAGCTCCAGCAACATAAGCAGTCACATACTCGGCTCTAGCTGTGTTTAGAGATCAGAGAGCTTCCACTATTTTTTCTACAAAGTTCAGTCTTTGAACCAATATATTCAGCCAATTTTGATTTACTAGTACTGGCACTAATTACTTAAAAATAAAACCTTGCAAACAAAACCAAACTTTTCATTCTAGGCTTTTCCAGGATCCCCCTCCCACCGGGGCCTTAGGTGATCACTCCCACTTTTGTCCACCCACTCTGACAACCCTGGTTATAACGCCAGGAAACACACTGAACAAACGCTGCAGAACATGTAGAGAAACGCATTTCCTCATTCCCATCCCGCTGAGCACAGAGCGTACTGTGTATGAGTAAGTGAGTGATTTACGCTCAGAGCACACAGCTGTTGGCGTTTAGAGCAGAGAGAAAATTAGCAGTTAAGTTTTCAGGTGGTGGTAAGTGTGGCGTGGAGGTTTCAGGTTGTCCATGAATAGATATTGCTGCTCCTAAAGACCCACATTACATCCCTGTGTCTTGTTTTTCAACTGCTGGGTCGAGTGAAGCTGATTAGAAATAACCACGGCCCTGGAGACAAAACAGGAAGTGGCGCCCACACAAGTTTTGCATAGAGGTGGACACATGGGGCCAGTGAAAGTCTTGTGGTGACACATGAAAAGTGAAAGCTGTAACTCAGTTTCAGGAACTCTGTTATGCTTTTGTAGTAGCCTCTGTACCCTAGCTGAAAACTATGTTGATATGAGTGTTAGGAAATGGCATACTGATATACTGGTTGTTAGAACCTTGACACACCAAGCCAACAGCTGGCTGTTGGTGTTGGGGCATCACTGAGCATCTGTCGAGCTAGTTTTTGCAGTTTGTCCCGCACCATTGGCACTAACTTTTTTTGGGGTTCGATTCAGCACGTTAAATCGGTGTTTGCGTTGGTGGAGCCCATTGGTGAATGAAATCACTCTGACTTGCAGTTAAGCCTGGTGCACGAGAAGGGAAACAGAAGTGTAGGAAGCAAAGAAACAGCTAAAGCAAGAGGGCGTGAGATGGTACAAACTTGCTATATTAGGTACGATTTGTTTTAGGCATTGAGCTCTTTAGCAGAAACATTTCGGGGTGGTTTGTGCTACTGTTTGCTGGTGCATGGTAAAAATCCTTTGCTCTTTCAACATCGGGTTGTGTTGTTAATGTCCTAGCTGTCTTATCAGTCTTACCCACATTGTAAAGCCAGTTGAAAGTATCCCTTGAATTTTACCAGTTATCTGCTCTGCACAGACAAATACCAGTACAGTTAACTTGAGTCACAAAAAGTGTGTTATGTATCTGTGTGTTCATATATTAGGTGATAGGCTTGTGTCCTTTTCCTTAAAAAGTCAAATGTACAGCTTTCATTTGAAAGAGTACATTGATTTTGAGGAGCAAATCATTTACTGGAAACAAGCTTACTTTAGTTTAAAAACACCACCCGAGGCCTCCAATCATTTTTGAATATTTCTTGCGAGGGGAGGGCAGTGATTGTATCAGGGTGGTTGCACCACCACCCCTTAGCAATCACAGTACACCTATTACAATAAACTAGAGTACACCACTGCTGCAAATTCAAAACTGACAAATGATAAGTCCTTTCACAGTGCAGTTTGTGTATTGGTCATTTTGCAATAGTCGAATTTGTCTTCCTTGTCTTTGTGCTGTAGCGTAGGTGGAGAGACACTGGCAGGTTATTTTGTCTACTTTGTCGGGCAAAGAAAGGAAGTAGTGATGCTGCTAAAAGTACCTGTCTAACTTGTTTTGCACGAGACAATAATTGTGTGCATGTTATGGTGTTGATGCAAGGATAATGTCCGGACTAAAAACCGCAGGAAATATAAATAGAGGTGGGGCTGTTAAAAAGCAATGCCCTGCTGCAGCATAAATCACATATGGTTTTTCAGTTTGGCTCAAGATTGATTTTAAGGACACTGACTATGATCATAATCCATTTTCTTCCTCCTATCATGTAGTCGTCCTCATGTGCTCTTTCTCCTCTTGTGCTGCAATCTTTGGCTTATCATCAGACTGCACAGACACGCCTGATCCTCAAAGATCACTGTGAAAGAAAACAGCCTGCATGCCATCACTTGCAGATTCATGAAAGCTATCATTTATTTGAAAAGTAATTTAATTTTCATGATCTCCGACAGGCTACCTTAAAACAGAAGGGAAGTTGTGAATCTGCAAAAGTCTTACAGATTTTTCACGACTAAATTCCAACAAAAGACAATTAGATGGTTTGAAGGTCTTTGCATTCAAGTACCTGCACGTTGTTGTGTGAGCATGTTTCAACAGGCATGTTGTGGAAAAACACAGCCAGCGCTACAGGGTATGAGAAAACTCCATGTGATGCATTTCTCCTTCCTCAATGTGTTACTCATGAAGCACATTTATACAGCAAAGACACAAGATTCATGTGAGCACTTTGCTATACGTTAACATGCATTTTAAAAAAAGTAGCAAATGTGGCAGCCCTGCGTACGCAAACTAAAGTAAAACTCACTTTTCTAACCATATGTCATGTTGGCATTGTGGAATGTGTAACACATACAGCAGATCCACTCCCTTCTCTTTAACAGGCTTAGACCTGTTGTAACTTTAGGAGGAGGTTTTGACTGTGTGAATAGGATTCACTCAACCATTCAGAACTGAAGACAAACAGGCTATATGCAAATATGCATGTTCATGAGCAAAGATCAGTTTTATTTTTATAAGAGGAACCTGGACATTGCAACAGGCTTCGATTTGAGACCTTTCTCTACTCAGCCAAACATTATCAAGCAACAGGAGAGCTGACAACAATAAGCTGACTTTTGCTTGTGACAGTGAAGCACATTAAAATGGTTTAAAATCTAATACTACCCACTGTATTTTATTGCCTGTTGTACCTTTATGTACAGGTTTGTCTTCTTATTGTGAAGACTGGAGCATCATATTGTTCACTTGCACACTGAGTACTGTATGTGACATTAGAGTCAACCTTTACCCTTGTGACTCCTGATACTTAAAACCCTAAGTTAACACTTCACATTTATGCAAATGATTTAATCTCTTTTCTTATGTATTCATACTTCTGGCATAATGGAGAGCTGTATAAACAGCCATTCATTTTCTGTAACTGCTTATCCTGTTGGGGGATGTGGGGGGACTGGAGTCCATCCCAGCTGACACTGGGCGAGAGGCAGGGTACACCCTGGGGGCACTGCGAGATTATCAGTCATTCACGCTCACAATTAAGTCTTTTGTCTTTGGTTTGTGGGAGGAACCCAGAGAAAACCCAAGCTGACAACATGTAGGGACAACATGCAAACTCCCTAGGGTTCAAACCCCCCACCCTAGGATTGAACCAGGAACTCCCTTGCTGTGAGGTGACTATGCTAGCCACTGCATCACCGTCTCGCCCTTGTGATTTCTGACACTTAAAAACCCAAAGGTAAATCAATGCCACGCACTACTTCACAAATCATTTGTTTAAATGATTTAATCTCTTTTCTCATGCTCTTCAGTTTTATGTTGGAGTACAGTTTCATATTTCTGCCATAAGACTGATAATAATGGAGAGCTATACAAACCACTGGCACAGCTTAAATTTCAGGCCAGCCCTTGTACTCGTATTACCATTACTTCCTTTCTGATCGCATAAGCAGTAATGTAACACCTGGCCTGAGGTCTGGGGAGGACAAATGGGAAACATGTTGCAATAACTGAGCTTGAGAGTAGCTTTAAATGGAACTATTTTCATTTTTGTAGTTGAAAATTACTTAATCAGCTTACATTAGACACAACTTTGCCCTCATGAGATCTGTTCAAATATGCTTTAAAAAACAAGATGGTTTATAAGACGGTTTGACAAAACATACAAATGAAAAGCAAACTTTTGATACATCCATTTTTATTTAAAAAAAAAAAAAAAAAAAATCTTATGTGTTCTTATGTTATTTATCAGAATACTTCCTGAATGGCAACATTTACAGGGATACTTATGGCATTGTTAACAAAGCAATATATGGATTTCCATTAATACAATATTTAATGATTTTTTTTTCTCAGTTTTAAAGAAAAACAGACCCTGTCAAATCATTATCTTGCTCTGTTCACCCCTTTCTAAACAGCATGGAAAAACTATAATAAAATACATCCAATGCATTATTTAACTTGGGATTACAGGCAGATCTTTCCCCGTAGCATCAGCCCAAACACCATTTTATAATCAAACATGGCGACAAAGAAAACAGGCAGAGGCAGAGGCGATGGACAGGAATCCAAATTGGAGCAAGAGCAGGTAACAGGGCGGGACTCAAAGAGGAGGATCATGGCAGGTACGTTTCAGTTACTTCCCCTCTTTCATGGCTTTCTTCTCTTGTTCAATTTCTGTGGGATCACAGACAGAGACAGAGGTGAGGTGATCAATGTGTAACTGAGGCTGGAGATCAAAGACGAGTCCTGTATTGTTGTCAGGACAAGAAAACAAAGTGATATAGCACTGTGTTTAAACATCATCATCCTATCAATACAAACCCCAACTCTGATATACACACACCACAGAACAATTCTAATCTAAAAGCAGCTGTGTTACATGTTCTACATGTCACCATCTTGGCTTTTTGGAGAGGTTGGAGCTGTGGAGGAGCAGGGGGTGAATCTGACTCACACAGTGGTGAGGCTTTGCAGACAGCCTGTCACTCAAAGTGGCCACACCCTTAGTTATATGTAGCCTTAAGCTGTAATTAACGACAAAGGGTAAGTTATATTAAAAATTCATCCTCGTAAAGTTGTCACGAATGAGGAAATTAGCTATAGAGACGAATACCCTTTTTTGGTACCAGGTTAAACATGTTTGCTTATGCTGTAAAGTTAGGCATTTTAACATGGAGGTCATGGGGATCGACTTGCTTCTTGAGCCAGCCTGAAGTGGCCATTCGAGGAACTGCAGTTTTGGCACTTGTGCGTCGGCTTCTTTTCTCAGCCATGGAGGTTGCCACTTGGTATTTAATGATTCAACAGTGTGTTAGCATGAGGCAGAACATGGAGGAGCTCTCTGGTAGTTGGGTGAGTTCTGGCAGCAGTTGCCTTTCATAATGATTGGCAGGAAGGAGGTGAACTACACAGAACAACGAGCTGAAGAAACCTGGATCAGGGCAGATTTTGGAGAGCACACGTCTCTTCAACAGGCACTGTGTAGGAATTTCTCCCATCCAGTGTTGAGATCGTATATTGCATTCAAACGGATAGCGCACTCTAGCGCCTCACTGTTTCAAATGCGTATTGCAACAACGGTAGCTGCTGTGTACCAAAAAGCTATGATAACATTGATGAAACCATGTCATCCGATACTTCATGGAGTATTCATTCAGGCTCCTACACAGACACACGCGACGCGAGTTGACAAACCCCCTCCTCACCATGCTGGCTGTGTTTACAATGTAGGACTGTTGGGGCGGGTGTAAATCGAAACAAACCAATCACGTCTTGTCTTCTGACAACTGACAAGTGGCTCAACCTCACACACCTCATCCCTCTCCTCCCAACACTGCATCGCTAACAGCACTAACAGCGGCTAACAGCTGTTAGTGGCGCTGTTAGCGCTGCTGGTTGCTAACAGCTGTTAGTTGCTGTTAGCTGTGATTCTCCTTCAGCAGCTCTCTCCACCTGGGAAAGGCTACCTCAGTGTTGACCTTGTTTTTTGAATTAGCCGGTCACGTTGCCTTTTTGCCTTTTTTCAAATGCACCGGCACTTGTGACTAGCCTGCTTGCTGCTGCTTTTCGTCACTCTACCTGCAGGCGGAAACCGGAAACCGACAAGTGAAAACACGAAAGGCGATTCCATATTTCTAAAGTTATTTGTCTCAAAGAACTGAAATTGTTACACATAGTGCCTTTAAACACCTACCCGCCTGAGTTGGAACATGGTTACACTCTTTCGTGCAAGTCTTCTTGAGCTTGTCCTTGCTGCAGTGCTCCACCTCCTGATTGAGTGAGTCTCTGCACGCTTTCTAATGGATAAAAGTGGAAGACAGGAGAAATTATGATTCAATCAAAACACAGATTTTGACTTTTAACAGGGCACGAGAAAATGTTAAAAAGAATAAACAAGAAAGCATGAATGCATGATCCCATTATCATAACAGACATAACAGTGTTCAGTAAGACTGCACAGTTTCTGTTTGTAACACTACAGTGTTGGAGAAATCTATAAAAATCCGAGGCAGAGATGATGGACAGAATTCCTAACTGGAGGAAGAGCAGGTACCAGGGCAGGGCTGAAAGAGAGGACTCATGACTGGCGTGTTTCAGGTACTTGCCTCTTTGATGGCCTTCTTCTCTTCTTCAATGACTGTGATCACAAGACAGACAAGACAGATGCAGAGATTATTAATACATGACTGAGTCTGGGGATTAAAGATTAGTCCTATATTGTTGTCAGGACAGGAAAATAAAGTGATATAACCGTGTTTAAACATAATCATACTATCAATACAAACCCCAAATCTGATGTACACACCACAGAACAATTCTAATCTAAAAGCAGCTGTGAAACCCAATATGTATTTATAATGGATGAAGCCACCAAAAAGTCACTCAGTGGTTTGTGAACTCCCGTTCTGAAGCCTTGAATTTGGCATTTTGGCCGTTACCATCTAAGCTTTTTGGAGAGGTTTGAGCTGTGGACAGCCTGTCACTCAAAGCAGCCACGCACGTAATTATGCAGAATTTTAAGCCTCAATAGAATATAAATGGGTGAGTTATATAAAAATCCAGCCTCGTAAAGTTGTCATGAGGAAATTAGCTGTACAGACCAACACCTTTTTTTGGTACCAGGCTGTAAACATGTTTGCTCATGCTGTAAAGTTAGGCATTTTAATATGGAGGTCTATGGGGATCGAGTTGCTTCTTGAGCCAGCCTCAAGTGGCCATTCGAGGAACTGCAGGTTTGGCACTTTTCAATAGTGTGTTAGCATGAGGCAGAACACGGAGGAGCTCTCTGGTAGTTGGGTGAGTTCTGGCAGCAGTTACCTTTCATAATGATTGGCAGGGAGGTGTTGAACTACACAGAACCATAAGCTGAAGAAACCTGGATCAGGGCAGATTTTTGAGAGCACACTTCTCTTAAACACCTACCCTCCTGAGTTGGAACTATGTTTTTTTCTTGTGTGGAAGTCTTCCTTAGCTTTTTCTGGGAACATTTCTCCACCTCCTGATTGAGTGAGTCTCTGCACGCTTTCTAATGGAGAAAAGTGGAAGAGAGAGCAGAAATGATGGTTCAAATCAAAACACAGATTTTGACTTTCAACAGGGCATGAGAAAATGATAAAAGAATCAATAAGAAAGCATGAACGCATGATCCCATTATCATTTCATTACTCAAGATGTCTGCAGTAAAAACCCAAGCCCAGCCTCAGTTAAAAAACAAAGACAGTACTGGGCTTAACTCTGCTCTGTAAGCCAGTCAACAAGTACCTACTTCATGACCTGCCTGCTGACAATGAACAAACAGCTCCAAAGTGGTGTCATGTTACACTGTTATTTACAGGGGTTTCAGTTCCACAAGAGTGCATACAGAGATCAGAAAGGAAACATGCTGTACTTGAGAACTGATCTGCATTTATGTGTGGTCATTGGAGAGACTAGGAAAATATGAAATGCACACAAGGGCCAAAGAAGCAAGCAACAGGGAAGTGTATGGAAAATACTCCAGTTTTGCGGGGAATGCTTGTGCATGGGGAAAAAGTTTGATAAGGATGTAACATTTCTCCAGTAGATGTAAGATCTAAGCAAGACTATGTTTTCTGAACGGTTTCTGCTTGTAACACTACAGCTGTGGAGAAATTTATGGAAAACAGAGGCAGAGATGATTGACAGAATACCTAACTGGAGGATAAACGGGTAAGAGGGCAGAGCTGAAAGGGAAGAATAATGGCAGTGGTGTTTTAGGTACTTACCTCTTCAATGGCTTTCTTCTCTTCTTGTATTACTGTTGATCACAAGAGAGACAGACAGAGACAAAGATGAGGTGATTGATCTATAAGTTGAGGAAGACTCATCAACAGTCAACAAAGATTAGTCCTGAATTGCTGTCAGGACAAGAAAACAATACTAATAAAGCACTATCATCCTTCAGAAATCAATCAAAACCCCAACTCTGATGTACACACCACATAACAATTACACTCTAAAGCAGCTGTGTCACATCTGCAAGGCAGCGAGTAAGATTTGACTATGTAGCAGCTGGTGCGACAGATGGTTTCACTTGTGATTTTGGCTTTGTTACTAATAACATGCCAGAACTGCCAGTCGACGGACAGGTTTCTCTTCTCTCAGTTTCTCTCTATATCATCATCATCATCATCATCATCATAATAATCATAATAATAATAATAATAATAATAATAATAATAAGTGCACTGATGGGAGTGCAAATAATTTTAGAGGTATAGGGCCCTACTCTGGTAGGGCTGTAGTCAACCAAAGAAAATCTTGGTCGACTAAAGTCGTACATAATCTTCAACTAATCGATTAGTTGGGGGGGGATCTGCATGTTACTTGTACTTGTGTGGTGGTGTGTCTGTGTCACTCTGCAGTTACACCTCCAAAACGCTAGTCGGCAGTGGAGGACTGTGATAAGTGCTGTAAAGTTTAGCTGATTTAAAATACACATTAAGTATGGCTTAATGGGGACACACAAGTACGCAAATTGGTTTCACTATAAATCGCAGAACTGACAAACACTTGTCTTTATCTGGATACATTTCCCCCACCAATACAACATGCTAACATTATTAGCACAAGTCTATGGCATTTTACATTGTATAAATTAGCCTAGTGTCTAGCGATCTTTTCTTCTTCTCATATGAAACCAGGGACAACAGCAACATTTAACAAAGGTAACGGCACTCAATGTGGCTAACGTTATTAGCGCCAGCCATATGGCATTTTACATTGTATAAATTAGCCTAGCGACGAGCGGAGATTTCCTCTGCTCATATGTAGACAGGATAAATCCCGAAGTACAAGTCCCTGAAGGATAAATCACACACAAGACTTAAAATGCTATTTTTGTGGAGGTTTTACTGTCTTCACAATTTATTGTTTCTTATCTGTGAAATACAAGTAAATACAAACTTGCAAGAGACACATGAAAATACTGTCAAATTAAATGCGACAAAGGCAGACCTGATTATAATAGTGGAAAAAGATATTAGTCAACCCCTACTACTGTAATATACTATGTAATGTTTATTATCATTACATTTCAACTCATACTTTATCTTATATTCTGTACTATACTGCACTGTACTACAGACCTACCTAAGTGGCGGCCCATGATTAAAAAAATAGTGAGTTTGCCACAATAAACCCTTGGAACTTATGCCATAATAAATTCTGATAACCGCAGAGTGCTTCTGTGCGCTTGGCCTATTTAAATTTATGGTCTTGTTTTTGTTCATGATTAGACTTCTTTTGCAACGTAGCAAAATATGAGCTCTGAAAATGAGGTGAAATGTTGTGTCAAGTGTACATACATTATGAGAATAATGAACAATAGAGTTGTGCTATCATACTGTAGTGTTAATATGTTAAACACTCAAGAATATTGCTATTATGTTGCTTTATTTGAACAGACAAGGCTAAGTTTCTTTACTGAATCACAATATTATTCTGGTGTATGCCGTTTACATACATACTAGACTTTATTATATTATTCTTGAACACCTACCCTCAACAGTTGGAAGAGTGTTTTTTTCCTTCGTGTCAACCTTGTGTAGGGTTTCCTCTTTAAAAGTTGCCACCCCTTGATTGATCTGATCCTTGCAACATTTCTAATGGTATTAAGTAGGAGAGAGAGCAGAAGTTATTATTTAAATCAAAACACAGATTTTGAGTATCAACAGTACATGAGAAAATGTTCAAAGAATGCAGGCAAAATCATGAAGGCATGATCCCATTATCATTTTACCCCTCAAGATGTTGTCTGCAGTACAATCCCATACAGATAAACAAATCAAGCAAACTGCTGGGAAGTTAAGAGCATAGCTGGAAAAGGAAATGCTTCAGTTATGAGGGGAAAGAGAATCTGCATGTGAAAAAGGTTTGATGAGCACATAAGTTTCCCAGAAGATATAAGATTGAATCAAGATGACCATGTTTTCTGCACAGGTTCACAGAAAACAGAGGCAGAGGCCGAAATGATAGGCAGGATTCCTAATAGGAGGAAGAGCAGGACTAAAAGAAAGCAGTTATGACAGGTGTTTTGTCGGTACTTTCCTCCACTATGGCTCTCTTCTCTTCTTTAATTGCTGTGTGATTACAAGAGAGACAGAGACAAAGATGAGGTGCTGAATGTATAACTGAGACTGGCAATCAAAGATTAGTCCTATATTGTTGTCAGGACTGTGTTTAAACATCATCCTCTTTATTAAATCAGTTTGAAACCCCAACTCTGATGTACACACCCTAAAATAATTATAATCTTAATCTGGAGTGCAAATAATTTAAGAGGTGCTCTAGTAATTCAGCACTGCACTTCCACAACATTGGGAATGTTACAACAGACACAGTAAAAAATGAACTGTCAAGATCAAAGCTATAGTGGCTCCAAAAGCTCCAAAAACACTACACCCTACATTTCCCATAATGCAACTCAGTGGCATATTTTATAAGTTAAATGTCTGCTTGATAAACACCCACATCATTTAAACTCCACACATTCCCAGTTTGTGACACAGGCCTTCTGTGAAAATGTGTAGTCTTCAAGTGTAACCTGATAACTGTGATGACATCACTCTGACATCATCAGATTAGGACACCTCCCTTCGAAGCCACAGTAGACACTACAGAGTGGTTTTCACAGGCTGTATACTCGTTATGACAAGTCAGCTTAATGTGTAAAACAGTGCCCATTAACTACTACTGCTACTACTACATGAAGCCATAAAAGTAACTGTAGCCTTGAATTTGTCAGGGTGTGGCACAGAAGAAAATAAACTTTGAAAAGAACAAAGATATGAGATCAGTAAAATGATTACACTTTAGTAGGAACTTTATTTAGTTAAAGAAATAATTCAACGCTAGTAAGATGTCTTCTCATAAAGCTGGGCTGTCTATGCAGTAAAAACATGCAAGTACTTTTAACACTGGAGCTACATGATCAGAGAAAACAAAGGAAAGGGGCTGTGGCATGTCCGTTTGCTCAAGAGTTAGCTAACCTACAACTACTGGAACGCACTGTGCTGCACCGGACCAATAAATCCTCCCGCTGGTGGGTGATGTAATGCAAGCTTGTCTGTTATAAATTTTACAGAATAGTGATATTTACAGGACAAATGTAAATGCTAAAATATAGTTTAACAGTATCTCAAGTAGAGTAATGCAGCATTATGTATCTTACGTTACATCAGCATCCACGCCCAGGTCAAAAGACTCTGCAGTGTTTATGGATATTTACTGACTCCAGCTCTGATCGGCTCCATTTAGCAGTGATGGAGCGGATATGCTAATTTTAGCCCCTTTGCTGGCACAATGCAATGACAGGCTGCCACAGAATACAGGCTGTCTCCATCCAAGCAGCGCTACAACATTGTTTCAAATTTAGCCTGCACAGTTTTCTAGCTAGTCTATGACATCAAATGTGACACACCAAAAAACAAAACAAAACAAAACAAAAAAAAAAGTCAAAATTTTTGCTTTAAATTAAGGTAACACTGGCAGTAAAAGACCCACATTGTGCCAAAGCAATGTTCAACACAGATTCCTCCTTTAACTGCAAAAATATCATCAACATCCTGAGAGAGAATGCGATTAAAGCAGACATGCACCAGCAGAGATACCTGCTTCAGTGCTAATACTGAGGGTACCTGTGGTCAGACTGACAAAGAGCAGGAGTTGAACAGCAGGAAGCCTCTCAGCTTGTGGAAGGAGTGGATGATTTTGCCACACTTTGACATTAACTCCCCCCTTCCTGCTGTTTCATGGCACACCAGATCTGAGGCGAGGCTTTACTTCCTGTTCACTGTATCACCTGGGCCTCTAATTCATTGCGCTATCCAACTTAGAGCCCTCCCACAGCTCTACAAAGCATAAAGCTTAATAAAAAGAGATGATTAAAGACAGTGGTCTGACAGTGCTAAATATGTCAGGGAATCCAAACGTAAATTCACCAAGTATAAAATAAAACACAGATACTATTGGACACCAGCCAGGCTGCATAGGATGGGTTTATCATCTAATAATTTATGTTGGGAATACCAGGAAGAAACTGACACTTTTTTCTTTCCACACTGTATTTGGGATTGTCCACTTATTCTGCCCTTTTGGAGTAAAATTCTTAGACACATGAGTAAATGGCTAGGGAAGACATTGCCAGTGTCTCCCAGACTGTGTTTACTGGGGGACAGATCACAAGTGCATAATGTGTCAAGGGATGAATTCACTACAGCTGCTAGAACTATACTCAGGTACTGGAAGTCAACCAAGCTTCCAGAGGTAAAAGAATGTGTCAACTACTTGATAAAAACAGCCTCTTATGAATCAGCATTGACTAGGATGACTAACTGTGCTAAAGGACCAATCTGAAGAGTTTATGTATATCTATTATTTTCAGTCAGTTTAAATGTGTTTATTTATTCAAATTTGATTGTATTACTTTGACTGTTTTCTGTTGGATTGAAACTGGTGCTGTACCCCCTCTTGTATTGATCTCTATTATCCTGTTTGTATTATTTTTATTAGTCACGATTGATGTCTCATTTGACAGCTAGAACCATCTTGTCCACCCTACAATAAAAAATTGAATTATATATGAAGAATAAAAATAAAAAGACAGAGGTCTTTTATTACACAAAAGGGGGTGGGGTTATGTCTTCCCACTCAACAGGCTGGCATTAAGTGGAACAAGTATGAGCTCTCAGGTAGCTGGGTGTGTATAGGTGGTTAATCAGTAACACAGTGTTTGCAATTGCCTTTCTTAATGACAGGCAGGGAGCAGTTGAACTATGCCGCGCAAGGAGCTGGATCAAGGGCACATGGTGCATAGATTTTGTACTGAGAGCATACTCAAACACTTACTTTCAACATCTGGAAGAGAGTTTTTTTCTTCGGTTTCAATCTTCTTCAGCGTTCCCTTGTCAAAGTCCACCACCCCCTTGACTGCTGCCTTGTCGCACATTTTGGGAGATTTCTAATGGAGTAAAGTGGGAGAGAGTGAGCCAAAAAAAAAAAAAAAAAAAAAAAAATTCACATACAAACACTTTTTTTTTTTTTACCCATCAACAGGGCATGAAAAAATGTTAACATGGACGAAAAGCATCCATTAACATGACATCACTCAGTATGTTGTCTGCAGGTATACAAACCAAGCCCCACCTCAGCCAGGAAAAAGCCTGGACTGGGGTGAACTCTGGAGTTATGTAAGAGTCACATGAACTACACACAAACATACAGGACTGAGGAATGCAGCGCTTTTAGACAGACTATCTCTACACACCACATAACATAAAGTGTAATCAACCCAACAGTGGTCGCACTGCAGTGGAAAGTTCATGGCCTAGACCAGAAACGTCGAATAACGCCCACACGCATTTTTTTTAGACATAAAAACAATCACTCAACACTGATGATGATGTTTGCATTATATTCCAATAATAAGTCGTCTTTTTCAAGGCACAAACTGTTAAAGAGCGGAGTTGAGAATAAGTTTTACCTGGTGCAGAGACGCGTTGTGTCCTTCGCAGGTAAAATGCGTTCGTGTAAAACGTTCAAAGCAAACAACGATTTAAGTAGAGACAACACGCCCTTGTGCTCTGGCTCTCATTGGCTCCCAAAGTTCATGAGAAAGAATTTTGATTGGACACACTTGATTCCTGACTTCCCTGAAATATTACACGCTGCTCCGTTTTGGCACAGCTGCCCCCCTCCCAGTGGAAGAATGCACATAGAGGATGTGGATGATTTCACCTTTTAAGCTTTACCACAGTGCCATCTGGTGGGCTAGTTATGGTATGACACGGAATGACAACAATTCAAACCATAGGGAAACAGCAGACACATCATAGAAACCACTTGAATTCATGACCAATAATATCAATTTATTAATGCACTTTGAGGGAAATAAGCCTGTATTCAGCAATATTTATTACATAGTGTTATTCTGTGTTTATTTCACAGGCATAGTTGAGGTTACAGACAGTCACCTGACATTTTTCTTTCACAGTCAAACAGTTACAGTTTCATTTAATGGGCTACATTGTGAATTTAACAAATTTATCTATTCCATCTACTGACTTACTCATCCTGGACGGGTAGTACAGTGCTACATAGCATATTAGTTTCTGGCTAATGTATCCTGCATATCTGCGCAGACATAGGGAGAACATGCAAGCTCCACACAGAAAGGTCCCACCTGGCAGACAGATGCTTGCCCTGGGCCACTGTGATCTGTCTTACTTGTTCTAGTCCTTTGCTTCATGTGAAATATCTATATCATCCAATAATAAAATAATGTCTTGACAATTCCCCTTGAACATGCATCCATCTCCCTTATGTACCTGAAAGGAAATTCCACGGCACTTTCGTTGGGGGACGTCCAAAAGACAGATCAAGATCAAGCAGAGGCTGACCTTTAATCCCTCATATGGGTCCAACCCTAAAATTATGGATATTTTTTCATATTGACACCAGTTTTGTTAGATCCTGTCTGGCTGGTTAAAATCAACACCCCCAATTTTAACATGGGGTTTCTGTTACAAGTTATAATCTCCAAACTGAGATAACCCTGACAGGAACATCAGAGTTCGGAGAACTTCCTAATGGCTGAGGGATCTAAGTTGCTGATCACATTATCCAACTTCCCTTGTTTGAGTCTGGCTGGTAACCTTTGTTGGAGGTCATCATGGCCCATTTCTTTGCTTTCATTTCCTCTTTCTATATGTACATAAAAGCAGAAATGCCCTAACATACTTGGAAAAAAAAGCAAAGCTACTCCAGAGCTACAGAGGACATTATACTGTTTTCATATCATAAGTAGTGTGTCTTATGATAAGTAAACTGATTTTGATGAGTTAAAATGGAGAAGTTCTCCTTCAAGACAGTAAAAATACAAGGCATCTGTGATTCAGCACCATATTTCTATTATTGTTATATTTAACTTTGGTTCATGATAAATACTCGCCCACCACTGCAGAGACGGAAGTTCAAGTCCTTGCAGTGGTGCCTTCAACTTCCTTGTGCATTGTGACGCACATGATTGGCTGTTAACTCACCAGGAAAACAGTGAGAGTTAGCTGTGATAAGGAGTAGGCTACAACACAAGAGGGAAAAATAAACTTACACAAAAATCAGTGTAAAATAGTTGCACGGCTTTCTGGATGATAGATAATACATACAATCAAACCAACATTTTTAACCGCGTCCCTTCACCCTGAACGTTTCTGCTGCCTGTCATAGATAGCTGTGGCGATACCCCATGTAATGCATGATCTCAGAATAACCAGAGAACCTCCTCTGTACAACAGAGCCACACTCCGCTGCCGAGATTCCCACAGCATCCTCCAACAAGCCATTACCCCCTTCGCCTCCCCTCCCACCTGCGCCTGCATGTTTGCCACTAGCACAGACAGAGGGTAAAGAGTCAAGCTGATTGCCATGGAGGTCAGCGTCCCTGAGATGAAGGAGGAAACCACCGGAGAGAGGCCCTGTCCCTCCACGACAGCACACACCGGCCCCTTCAGGCCAAAATAAAGGGAGCTGCCGAGAGCATTGCGGGCTGTGATGGGCAGCAGGGCTCTGTAGAAGCCCAGGGCTGGGGTCTGGGCCTGCAGCCTGACAAGAACGCTCTTCAGGGTGGGTAGATGGCGGTCGTTTTGGCCATTTTGCAACACATTCTGGACGCGCTCGAAGGGGGTGAAAACCACAGCTTCTACCATACCTGCACCAAACCCAGCCAGAGCAGGCAGGGCAGAGGTGGAGAGGACATTTTGGGTCGACAGGGAGAGCTGGTGGAGGAGGGTATCCTGAAGGCCAAAGAGCAGCGTGCCATTGAGGGTCCTCATCAGTAATGGTGGTGCCACACCCCTGTACAGCTTTACAGGTCCCTCTTTATAGAGTTGTCCCACTGCCTGGTGGACTGGGGTGTTGTGGATTTGTTGACGGAACACAATTTTGTACACAGGGAAGACGATGAGGGTGGGGAGGGTGGATAGCAAGCTGGAGGTCCCTCCATGCAAGTAGCTGTGAAAATGCACCACTGTGTCCCTGAGGCCCTCTTCATCTTGTTTATGGTCAGGACTTCCTGCCATCCTTGAGCTGAGTAAAAATTGAATCACAAATCACTTCAGTGTAGTCCTGATGCAAGGCAGTCATACTGATACTGACAGTTAAGACAGAAAACCACAGCAAATCATATTGCACTTAAAAATTCACGAATGAAATATATGAATTATAGTTTGTAATCAGAAATAAAATGCAAAATCAGATTAATTTTACATACCTAGTCAGCTGTCACTAGAAAAAAGACACAACAAGAGATATTTAACCCGTAGTGTCTACCCTGATTTTCCTCCGTTCATTGTTGGAAGTTAAAGGCAGCACAGGCGTCTATTGTCCATCTCCAACGCTGCACGTGCAGACAGCTACTTACCGGAAATTGGTCCTGTAACGATGGCAACACGTTTCTCTCGTTTCCACCCGAATAAAATGCCAAAACCGGTCCGACAATGTGTAACGGTACCAAGATGACACGGCGCACTAGGCATTAATATGCCGGTGTCCGTAATAGGCCCGCCTCTTCTAGAATAACTATTTGTCAAGATGGTCTTACGTCACGAGGTTGGTGATTGGTTGTTTTGCCTATCAATCAATGTGTTTACTTGAACAGGGGTGCATTCAACGTGGGAAAAAGAAGACAAAAAGAAGACATATCAGGCATTTTTTCAGAATATACTACTGCAGTTTTTATCCTAATGACATGCAGGAATTTTTAGTGTCTTTGCGTTTTGAACTACTGACGTCACAGGTCTGATAAATACATGAATATATTTTGATTTTTCATACTTTAAATTTCACTGATGTATTGTAATGCCTGTAATTTTTTCAGTCTAAATGCAGTTATGAAGGCTTGTCCACACTCCCAGGAATTAAATTCTGGTATGGAAACACTGAATAAAATATAGACTTGTAGTTGTAGCATGTATGTCATGTATACATATACAGTGGTGGAAAAAAGTTTTCGGACACCCCATGCATTTGTGAAATATTGCATTAAGAATCACTCTTAGGTCTTCAAGTGCAATTTCTTTTAGTACAGTCACAGCCAAAATACTAAATAAATCCTAAAAAAGCCATTAAAAACTTAAAATTGATTGGTTCCATAAAAACACATAAGAAATTTTGAGTATTGGGTCATTTTGGTACCAGTGATGAAGGTCGTTCTTTTTTATTAAAAGACACCATTTTTGTTGCCAAGCTTCGTGTCTACATAAAGCCAGCACATTTGAAAGTTCTTCAGACACAAAAATGGCTAAAACAAGGAACCTAACGCAGGAAACACGCCTGAAGATAAAGATTCTCAGCCAGGAAGGATACAGCTGCCGCCAGATAGCCAGAAAGTGCAGATGCAGTCCTTCAGCAGTTGGATACACTCTGCAGAAATACAGACGAACCAACAGCTTGGAAGACAAACCAAGATCTGGGCGTCCAAGGGTTTCCTCAGCAAGAAATGACCGCATCCTGATCCGCATGTGCAGGCAAAACCGCTGAATGACATCACAGGAGCTTCAGCAGCAGTGGTCAAACCAAACTGGTGTCCAGTGTTCCACCCGCACTGTACATGGCCGACTTTTAGATCATGGCTTAAGGTCCTACAAGGCTATAAAGAAGCCCCTGATCAATGAGAGACAGAGGTTAGTCCGGCGTCGTTGGGCCCAGGCACACAAGAACTGGACAGCCAGGAATTGGAAGAAGATTTTGTGGTCAGATGAGTCCAGTTTCCAGCTTTATCTTCCTCCTACTAATGTGAGGGTACGCAGAAGGCCAGGCGAAGCATTATCTCCAGCATGTACAGTACCTACTGTCAAGCATGGTGGAGGCAGTATCATGGTTTGGGGATGCATGAGTGCTGCTGGTGTTGGTCATCTCACTGTCTGTGATGGCACATTGAACTCTACCAAGTATTGTACCATTCTCAAAACCCACATGCTCCCTTCTGCGCGTGCACTGTTCCGTCGAGGTAAAAACTGGATGTTTCAACAAGACAATGCCCCTTGTCACACATCCAAGGCCAGTAGAACTTGGCTGCAGGAGCACAGTATCCAGGTCTTAGAGTGGCCAGCTCAATCCCCGGACATAAGCCCCATTGAAAATCTGTGGTGGATTATCAAAAGGTCTGTTTCAAAGCATAAACCAAAGAATTTAGAAGAATTAAAAGCAGTAATTCAAGAAGAATGGGACAAGATTACCCCTCAACAGTGTGAAAGGCTTGTGGGGAACATGCCAGCCTGGATTAGAGCTCTACTACGTGCCAATGGCAGGACTACTAAATATTAATTTGATGATGTGATGGTTTATTTTTTGTTCAGTTTTGAACACATTCTGTTATTTGTTGACCTTGATACCGACAATGTTGAGAACTGACATATTGAAACTGTCAAGAATTTAGTTTTGTTCATTTTTCTTGTAAACAATAAACAAAAAAATATAATTTGTATTTGTTTGTATCTGTCTAATGCAGCCACACCTTTTGAAACACAAAAAAGATTTTTCCACAAATATTTCATGATAATATTTGAGATTGTGTAAAATTTTAAGGGTGTCCGAAAACTTTTTTCCACCACTGTATATGTAGGACATTATGTCATTGGCCTTCTCCAAGGGCCAAGAGACTGCAAATGAAAGTGTGGCTTTACACACTACAATATATGTACTGTGCATTGTCCTTGTTAATTAATTAATTGATAGAAATGGTTAAATGTTCACAAAGTACCTGGCAAATCTTGAAAAAATGGGAATTTGAATTAAATACTACAACTGAAGATAATGTATGGGAAGATCTGTGAGCAAAGTGTCATCAAGGAATCAATAGTCAATTATGGAAAGAGCTGACTAGAAAATAAAAATCAGATATTTTAATACTCCCCTCATCATCCAGTCATATATGAAAGAAACTTCATTGGCAGTGTGTTGGAGAAATTGGGGAAAAAATTGGGATCATGCGCATTTCTTTTGGGACTGCCCAATAATTCATGGCTTCTGGGGAGGCATTAAAAATGAAATTGACAATATCATGAAGGTAGATGTCCCGCTAGACCCATTCGTATTTTTATTACGAGTTATACCTAAAGACAGATATAGCACAGATCAGAGGTATACACTGAGGATACTCTTACTGATTGCCAAGAAAATGATGACATTGAAATTGATGGTATGATGCATAAATACCAATAAAACAAACCCGAACTGCCAGGTTTAAGATTTTACGCATATTTAATTTTATTAAGAACACATCCTCAGATAACTAGTGCATTCACTCTACTGAGTAAACACACAGGTTTGGAATATGCACATAAATGACAAATCCTTCCTCCAGACATACAAAATAAAAGAGCAAAATGAAAAACAATAAAATTGCAGGTGAACATTTCTGAAGGAAGCTCCAGCCTGCAGAGACCCCAAACTAAAAACCCCACAGCTTCTCTATAGAAACACCTTCATCTCTGAACCTCAAAGGGTAAACCCTGGACACTGGGCAAACCCCACTCAATGGAGGGCACCTCAAGAGTTGAAAGAAACAATCCAGAACATCTTTCACAGCCTGATAAGACACGTCAAAGTTCTTCATCCAGCGAGGAAATAAACGCAGCTAGATAACAGCGGGGCGGGAAAGGATAAGACTGGAGGAAGAAGTCATTCCATTTCAGACTGTTGAGGCACTCTTGGTTGAGTGGAGCTTCAGTGGCACTGTAAACTAGTTCAATACACATTCACTTCATTAATTATAATAATCTTTCAAACAGCAGAGGACACAGGAGCAACATGAAATACTACACTCATTCATTGTAACAAAAAGCACTGTAACAGCTTCATATGGCAGATGCTTCTCCTGACCACTGGAACCTGCCAGGGATATTTATATAAGCTCTTTGACACCAGATTTCAACGACTCCTGCGGAGGTGGAATGGTCAGGAGAAACTCTGTACTGACATGTTATGTAAGGGGAGACAAGTTCACGGTGGATAAACACTTATTTATCCAAGTACAATAAATACGCTGGCCTAAATTGGTAGCTTGTGATTGCTTTGGTGCCCAGACATGACGGGACACTGCTCGAGGAGGAAGGGAGTCAAGTGAGTGGGGTCAGCATTAGTAACAGACATGACAGTTCATTCTTCTTATTTTTTTTTTTTTTTTTCACGGTTAGTTAGCAGAACATCTTTGCTAATGGTTGTGTTTGGATGGGGGATTTCCCTCTTCTCTTATTTGGTGTAACAGCACACGGGAGATAGTAAACACCTTTTGTTACAAGGGGACGTGGCTGAACAGGTATGACACAGACTCGCCGTTGTGAGTTCTACGGATGGCCTCTGCGAGGATCATGGAGATGTCAATAACCTGGAGGGACAGAGGATGGGATGTAGTAAATATAACTAGACTGGATGATGACTATTTGCAAGTAATTTATCAAGCAAAAATACCATTTTTTTTAAAAGAAATTAGTTGTTGCATATTACTTTAAATACAGATAGTTTTTATTTAGTCTTATGTTTTACTACTCACTCTGGGCTCTGAAGAAGTGCCTTTTTTGACATTGAAAAGACATGGATAATGAAAAATATTAGTTGTAGTCTTCCATTAAATGCTGTATTCTGACCTGTATTTTGGGACAATGCTTCATCTTCTCCTCCTGAGGGATTGTATTGGTGACCACCACAGCTTCAAAGCAAGCATTGTTGATGCGCGAGATGGCTGGGCCAGAGAAGATGCCATGGGTTAGGATGGCGTACACCTTGGTGGCACCTGCAGAAATGAGTCTAGGGGGAGAGACACAGTATAATCCATTACATATCACTATGACTGGATACATCCTGGAACACAGGTCTCTAAATGAAATTCAATAGGGATCTCTTTCTAAGTTAGTTTGACATCAGGACCACAGAAAGCCGGGGCGACTGCCTGTGGTCAAGTCTTATGTTTACTCGAAAGTTGTCTACCACTATAGGGGAATAAAGGGGCTTACTTGTCAGCGGCATGACAGATTGTGCCGCATGTGTCAGCCATGTCATCCACTAGAATGGCGACCCGATCCGTCACATCGCCGACAAGAACCATGCGGTCCACCTCGTTTGCCTTTTTCCTCTCCTTGTGAATAAGGGCAAAGTCCACATTCAACCTGTCTGCTATTGAAGTGACCCTGCAAAGGGAAAGAGTAATGTTCACGAGTTAGAGCCGGTGTGCATGCCAAAGTGTATAAAGCTGTACATGCACACGTCAAATCAAGGCCTTGTGAGAGATAAGGAAAGCAAACAAAATTTAATCTTAAATAAATTCCAGAGGAGATGTTCAAGGGTAGATCACAAACAGTATGGCAAGTGGCACTGGCATACCTCTTAGCTCCTCCTGCGTCAGGTGAGACAATAGTACAGTTTTTCCACTCAGGGATGTTCTCCTTGATCCATTTCAGCACAGCTGGCTCTGCATACAAGTTATCGACGGGGATATCAAAGAAACCCTGGGAAAAGATAAAATATATTTGGACTGGGGTTACAGGAGCATAACATGTACTGCCTACTAGAAAAAACAAATACAAGGCTCATATTTCTCTCTGTCCTTTGTTGACCTTTGTCCTCTGTTGTTGATATAAACTTAAGTTTATGAAAATCAGGTTTGCAATGTAGGTAAAAGTACTACCCAGGGGGCAGATTAATGACAGGGTAGTGAATAAGAAGCACTTCTGTTCAGGTCTGCTTTTGTGTTGCTCACCTGTATCTGAGAGGCATGCAAGTCCATAGTGATGATATGGTCAGCGCCTGACACCGACAACATGTTGGCCACCAACTTGGCAGAGATAGGAGCGCGGCTCTGCAGTGAAAATAGATCTCTTCAGTCACATGGAATAAGTGAACTGGCAAGCATGGCTTGTTGCTAAAAATATCTCTCAACTGAGATCTTAGCTATTAGGTAAAATTATACCACACAAATGTTAAAATATTTTAGACTCTAGACCTCAAAGTTAATAATACAAATATATTTCAGCTTGACAATTGATACTGTAAATATTTTAAGTATACTACAATGGGTGATGTGCATAAAGCACCAGTATGTACATAGGATGACTAAGCATATAGAAGCGTTCAGATCTCATTTCGCTCAGCTACAACAGTCAAATTAGCTCAGAGTGAACATGTTAGGCTCCATTGCAATATGGGTTTTAATATAGGAAAAATACACTGATCACTATATAACTAACTTAACAACTTAACAAAACACTGGCTATCTAGTCTTACATTACAATAATTCAAGTTTAGATTCAGCAGTAAAAATTGTAAAACATTCCACTCATGCAAATGATGCAATGTCACTAAAATGTTTAATGAGAGTAAATAAAAGGTACATAGCAAATAGCTATGAGCTAAAAACAACGGAGTTGGGAAGTGCAGTTGGTTCAGCAAAGCATACAGAACAAGGGAAAGGAAAACAAACCAAAAAAAAGAAAGGAAAGCAAATATGCCTTGTTGAGTGGTTACTGATGGACATGGCTGCAGGCTTCTTGTCATGATGTTGGGACTGCAAATGGCATGACAGAAGTAATTAGACAGATATCCCTCACCCCCACCTTGTCCTTCTTGTCCTGCCGGGCGTAGGGGAAGCAGGGGATGACAGCCGTGACCCTGGAGGCAGAGGCAATCTTGCAGGCGTTGATCATGATCAGCAGCTCCATCAAATTGTCATTGATCTCCCCACAGCCACTCTGCACGATGTAGACATCTTCCCCACGTACGCTCTCCCCTATCTCCACACTGGCAGGGGACAAAGGTGACAGGACAAACAGCACTTAGTACCATTTAAAACACCATGGTGACACATGAGACAGAGTAAACAATGGCGTGTGATGTGGACACGGGTTAAACTGGAGAAACAAGCAGCATGTCGAGTCAGAAACTGCAGTCTCAATACGATATGTGACGTTATATGTGTACAATTGGGGCAGCTGAGGTGGCCTTGACCAGCCAGGTTGTTAGTTAGCATGAGTTCTCAGCCATGCGTGGACTACAAGTTCCTAACAACACTGCGCGGCAAATTTCACCGTGACACCACGTTTCTAATTAAATAACATAACATGTCTCTTGGCTATAATATTTGCCAAATCAGGTACACCTCTGACCATGAGCTCATTTAAAGTCGCCACAACAGCAAACTCACCATGTTTCTTGGTTGCTAAATTTCTTCGTAACAACCTTCCCCAGCTCGAGACCCAGGCGGTCAGCTATTTTCTGAGACAGGTCCGGATGTGAGCTACCGCTGAATATTTTGATATTCGGCATTTTGTTGTGGTCCAGGGCGTCGTTTATTCCGAGGTGGCAGCGGCAGCGAGCTGCTGTCGAGTCAGGAGAGTCGAAATGTCCACGACAACCACTGGGAATTGGTCAACAGTTGATGAGCAACTCTTCTCTAGCTATACTGTGTTCCCTACCTATCCACCATTATGTCCCACACAGCACGCGTGCGACTCTTCCTCCCGTGCCGGCGCGCACGTATTCACTTACGTTTCGCCGCGCTGACGTCATTCCGGGAAGAGGAGCTCAGAAAAGGGCACGTGGACGAGAACTATTAATAATCCTCTATGCAAATATTTCCTTACAAATAAGTAAGGGAAGTTTCCTTCTAAATCATTCATAGATATTATCCCGGAAGCCATTTTCTTCTTAGATATAAAAGGGACATCTGTGTTCACCGTCCATTTTTTTTTTCTTTTCTTTTTTTTTTGGTAATTTTCATACACTAACAAATTCTGGAAAGATGTGTCCCAGCATATTGTTGATAACACTGACTCTTAATTTCCTCTTAAGTGGGAAAATATAGGCTACTTAGAATACCAAAAAAAAAAAATATATATTATTTAAAGTAACAACACAAAAATTATTAATTATTAGAATTATATTTAATCAATTTGACTATAATCATCCCAAAGTATCATATTCATAAATCCAACTAGTTTTAGTATTTGAATATCAAACTAAACAGTACATTAAGACCATTTTTACTTACTTTTTTAAAAACTATTTGTGCTTCTTGTTTAATATTTTCATTTAAAATGAAAATAATGTTCTCTAATGTCGTTTCGTCTGACTTTAATTACCTTTTTTTTAGGTTTGTATTTGTTGGATTGTCAATAAAGATTTGGTTTTTAAAGAAAAAAAGGGGGGCACGTGAACGAGCGAGGTAGGCTACATCCCTGGGTAGTGTTAACTACTTTGAGCTTATGTTAATGCAATTAAAAGCGTGAGGTGAGTTAAAGGTAATACACACCTGAACAGATACATGGAGTTTTAACTGTCATTTGTGCTTGAGTTGTGCATGTTTTGCTTCAAAAATAGTATAATTTCCGAATTGTTTTATTATATAAAACACGAAATAAAAAAACAGGGATATTAGTAGTTAATGTTCGTAAACCGTCGAGGTGTTTCCTCCAGCTTAAACCTCATTGTGGGTCCGCAGGAAACAAGGCCTCCTAGAATATTCACCTTCTTTCTTGGCACGTTGAGGGCACTGCAGTAGTAATGTAGGCCAAGACACTGTCTATATGAGCTCTAACAGCTGTGGTGTTAGATAGGATTTATATAAAGTAGTAATTGGCCTGTCTATACTCTGCTCAGAGGTGACAAAACTGCTCATTCCCCTTGTGTTGTCATTAAAGCTAAATCTAACTTTCTCTCAGGCAAAGACACCTGGCATGTGCCTGCTGGCACTCCTCTCAGGACCTCAGAGACATCAGGGCGAATTTTGGACTAAAACGCAGTCTGTGGTAAGTGGCAAGTATAAGCATTTTTCACAGCAGACATTTTGACATGTCGTAGTAGGAAAAGCAGGTGTTACCACTAACATTACTGGCTGTGCAGTATGCAGGTGTTCCAGTTAGTAAAGATAGTGTGACAGTGACACAGCATGCACAATAACAGGACCCTGAAGCTGAAGCAGCTAAATGGAATTCAGTTATCATGTATTTTATTATTTTTTTAACCTGTGCTTTTCTCACTTTGACGTGTCATAATGTCTAGAATTAAGACTATTAAAGGTCCAGTGTGTAGGATTTAGGGTACATATTGGCAGAAATGGAATATATAATATAATAAGTATTTTCTTCAATGTAGAGTTACCTGAAAATAAGAATTGTTGCGTTCTTGTTACCTTAGAATGGGCCTTATATATTTAGGGAGTAGACATAAGGAGTGGGTCCTTGTCAGTCTTTAAAGAGATCGCTATGTTGCACCGCAGTGTTTCTACAGTAGCCCAGAACAGATAAACCAAAAGCTGGCTGTAGATGGGGCGATGCGCGGTTTAGTGTCGGCTACCGTAATTAGCAGCCAATACTTGAAAATGAAACGGCTTTATTCAGTGTTTTTAACAGTTTAAATCACTGGTCTCTTTGTTTTGGAGAGGAGGACTCAGCTCCTGGTTAAAACCTCTTGAATGTCTGGATTAGAAATAAGGTGAGCACAAATTAACTTATCAGAGAAAATAGTTGAGCACACATTTGCAGGTGCTGGGCAATGGGCTGTCTGTGATGTGCCAAAAAAGGAAGGACTTTATTCAGTGTTTTTCACCTGGTCCGTTTGTCTTGGAGAGGAGGAGACCTCTGCGGATAATTCAGCTCCCTGTAAAAACCTCCTGATCAATGAACACTAAAGGAGTTCTAGCTGGGAGAAGTTTCATCTGGCCACAACCTGCAATCCTCACTACTGGATTCCGCTAAATCTCCCTAAATCTTACACACTGGACCTTTAACTGTGGCAATGGCATATTACTTGTTTAGGTTTTGCTGGTGTGTAGTGTTCTGGGTGTTACAGATCTCTAACATCCACACACAGTTGAATTTTTACTCGATTATCCGTCTTGTTGCCAGTTTTGCAAAAGAGCACAACTTTATTGGGATGTTTGTGACAAAGAGTCTCTCCTGGCTGGTGTTTGGCTCAGCTTCAATCTGCTTTTCAAATGCTGAGCAAAAATACGAGTAACACAGAAAATCCCATTTTAAGTAAACCCATCTAAAATGTCAACAACACAAAACCATTTTACTGTCAGTTGTTGGTGTTGTGTCAAGATTTGAACTGTTGAGTCAACATTGTTTTTTTGCCAGAGGTAAATGAATGACGCAACCGCAGCAGTAAGAACCTTCTGGCAGCGGCAAGAGAGACGATTATCTTTGAAATGACGTCATTTGTTTGGAGTCATTGTTACTGTCACTACTGCAAGTTTTCCGCATGCAATGTCATCTCCAACTTCTCTGAAAGAGTTTATATAATATACTTTATTGCTTGTAAAACATGAGTTAACTTTGTACACAGACAGAAGACCACAGTGACGACAAGATCATTGACAGTAAATAAAGACAGGAATGAATAGGTGCACATAAAGAAACAATGGATTAAGCCATGACGGGCTCATCGTGTGAATGAAACACAGACAGATCCACACAGTTTAGCAAAGCAACTGAACAATGACAACCACAGAAAATGTTTATCAGAATGTTAAAATGTTCAAGTGCTGATGAGAGAACATAGTCTGATATCTTGTTTATAAAAATAAACATGTCCCATGCCTTATACGTGTTATATACTCATTAAAATATATGTTTTGCTATTAGTCTCTATGTTACATTACTACTATAAATAAATTACCTTACAGACATGTTTTTATCTTTTCCTTTTTACAAAATAGTGAAGAGTTTGGATAAATCTTAATGTTACAGGTAATGTTTTTAAAAGTGTTTCATATTCTCTCAAATATGTTATCGTACTATTTACATTTACAGTGTAGAATAATACATTTCCATACTGAATATCATTTGCAAAACATTAACATATTGCCACAGTGGCCTTTCATTTTTGCCTGCACTTAGAACTGTAAAATTATCTGTACAAACAGTATTCATCACCTTCAATGGTCAAAGTATCTGCCCCTGAAAGTCTATTACGTAAAAGTAGACATGCAGTACAGTGAAAGAGAAAACACTGCATATGGTTATGGAAAATGCCACATCAACAGCAAAGGACAAACTGTTAAAAGAGAGTGCCTGCAGACGGCACAAATGTGTTCGGAAACCAAGAAAAGAAGTGCAACTGGGCTGATATCCTGATTAATAATGATGGTCAAACTCTCAGTGTAAAATGAAAAGTATTATAGTGTGGGGGGTCACATTGCTAAATTGATGAAAAATCACATTGCCTCACACAGACATGCTAATAAATAATCATCAAAGCTGAAAATATTAATAAAATTAACAAAGTGGCTAAAATTTACAGCAGTACTAAGTTAAAATTAGAATAGAAAATAGCAGATTTTTTTTTTGTAATGTAACTTTGAAAACATAGGAAGAAGGCAATGAGCAATGAAAGAAGAAATTACCCAAAAAATGAGAGAGAATATTAAAAACAAGAAAATGAGTTTAAAAAAAAGAAAAGAAAAAGAAAGAAAGAAAAACAAACACACAGAAATGACTTTGAAAGAGTGCTTAAAAATGATTAAATTATTATTATTATTATTAATTTAAAACCCTTTAAAAACTGAGCAATTTGCTTTGATTTTTCCTTTTAAAAACATGGGAAGAAGGCAATGAGGAACAAAAAAAGAAATGACCCCAAAAATAGCAAGAAATTAGTAAAAAGAGAAAATTAAAAACAAGAAAATCAGTAGAAAGAAAAAAGAGACATTTTAATTTTTAATTCATTATTTATTTATTATTAATAATTCTGTGACATAATTTTAAAATGTAATAATAATAATAATAATAACAAATATAGTTTTTTCTTTTTCTTCTGTTTTTTAAAAATAATTTTCTAAATCTTTTTTTATTTATTTATTTATTTTTACAATTTGTGTGACATTTCTCACCAAGCTGCACAGTGCCTTTTTCCCCATGTGTTCGAAAGAAATGGCAACAATTTGCTCAGGCTTCAAAGGTTTAAAAACTTGTCAAAGGTGTCTGAAAGCAGCACAGCCAAAGTGATGTCACTCCAGGTTTCAAAAGGGTAATTGATTTACAGTGTGTGACACTAAGAATCCTCAAATAAATTTCTTACCACCAAGCAGTTGAATAGCTTGACTCAGGCTGGATGTTTACATCATACACAGTATTTTATAAACCTTTGAGTTGGTTCATTTGAGTACCATGCCACATCCCAGAGGACTAACGAATACCTTCTGTGCAAGACACAACAATATCACATTTCTTGTCTTTAGTATTTTGGCAACCCAGTTGTCCCTTTTAACTTGGCTTCACTGCACTGTCTTTCAACAGTATGTCCGGTATACATGTTAGGCCAGGACAACTGTAAAGCCTCTCACCAGAAAGAGGATGAGACACAAAGAAGATTTCAGACAGGAAACAGATGTGTTAGTTTTATTAAAATACATAGAAAACTACTTTGTGTGTTTCTTATATATTTGCTAGATTGCACAATGTATAACAGCACATAGAAAGCAAATTTGTTTATACTGTATTTGAAAACCTGAATAAAAACCAAGGATCCTTTGAAACGGGTAAGCATTAGCTTTGAAGTGATGGATAATGTCAAACTGGTGGTGTGGACTCAAGTGAGGTTTTCAGCAGCAGAGTGAATAAAAAACACTTAATCAAACATTAAAAGATACATTTCAACTTCAGAGCTAATTTCAGAGGTTGTGCAAAATTCTAGTGATAAGCTTACTCACTTGCAAGTGGATGGCTATATTTAAAACTATGATTCACAACGAGTGAGATGCGTGTGAGCCATGGATCAGTGATGGTGTAAAATACACTCTGTGCGTTATTAAGTACAGTGTGGGTATTCCTTCTCTACAGCTGAGTGAGGTAACGACACTCATGACTGTATAGTGGATTAGACTGTGACTTGGGTCTCTGCTACATTGTCAGCCCTGAGCAGGTGTGTCTCATACCTGCACTGTTAGAGAGAGAGAACGGGCCTCTGTCAGTCAATATAGTTTAAAATGTCATACTCGTCTTTCAGCGGTGTTCATTTTCCAACACTGTCACTTACATTTTGACTCTTGTATCACTACGCCAGACAATGTCAACATAGCCAACAGAGATCTCCATTTTGCATTACAACAGTTAGAAAATTAAACAAACAAAGCACATCACCATCTAACCAACCAACGCTTTGGACTACGCAATTTACAGAAGTCGCTACTTGACGAGATCTCTGAAGTATTTTTGTCCAGAGCATACATTTATTTCTGATGATTTATTATAATCTTTATAGTTCTCTTATACATTTCAAATATATTCTTCACTTTTTTCTTCACAAAACTTTATATTATTTGCTAAGTAGACACAACTCAAATATACATTACATATAAAATATTATACTATAATGACATATGTATATTGTGAATATTGATATGAGGTGATTAGCCCTGTATCACCCAGTCTGTTATAGGGTTCTTATTCCATTGTGCATTAGTTTGGTGTATCTTTATATTTCAAAACAAGATCCACGAGGCTACCTCAGGGCCTGTAAACATGGGATGGAACAGCTGCATTGCAATTTTTACTGAGGATGAGTCATTGCATGTCTTGTAAAAAATGTAAACAATAAACAAATAATGAATTTGGATAGAGTAGCCACCCACATTCTGGACTGTTTCGATTACATCCCTGCCAGATGTATTCTTACTGGGCAGGCAGAGTTTTGATGGGTCGAGTGAGTGAGCTCATGTTATTGATGTTGGAGGAAACTTGAGGGCTCACTGTCTTAGTTGGCAAGCTGCTTGAGTGTCCCATTGATTCCTCTGCTGCACGCAGAA